AAAGAGTTAAGTTTCTAAGGCACAAAGAGAATATTCTCTTTTACTACAGGTATTCTCAGCTTTAACATAAGATGCTTCATACAAGATTAAGATAACACACCATTAATCTAACCACATTCATTTGAATGTAAACTTACCTCTAAATATATCGATGGTGGGTTATGCTCTCCTCCAAATTTGTCTAGCAGTGCCTCTATATGTTCTTGTGTTAATTTAATCATCTGTTTGATATTCCACACCTAAAACAGAAAATTAAAATTTCTATCATCAAAAGGAGCCTAGAGAATCTGTCCTAAAACAAATTACATTTTCTTGATATTCAATAACAAAAGTCCGTAATAAAAGTATTTTAATTATCAGTAAAAGAGTGAACAAAGCTATCCCGTTCATCCACTGTCAGTAAGACACAGCTTGCTTCCGAGATAAACAGAGAAAAATTAAATATGGTTTTAAAATTCAGGAACCATTGAATAAACAACTTTTAAGAACAGTTTATTTTTCATGTTTATCAAAACCATATTAAGTATTTTCATTGCAAGACTTTGCAACCCAATTTCTACAGTACTACAAAGTTTAGTGAAGGAGTTCTTCCATCAAACCTTAAGAAATCTGTGTAAACAACATTCACCAAACCTAGACCTAGTGTCCCATTTGCATGGGAATAGGATGTCTTGATCTTAAAGAGCACCTTCTATACACTGACTTCTATACTGTCTACCCTGCAAGTTTTCTTACAGACATTGGACATGATCTGAAAGAGACATCTATCTCTAGTGCACAGAGAAAACTTATGGCACTGTACTATGAAACAACTCAGGTTTTCACTTATTCTTCACAACACCCTGAAAGAATCAGTTTTAGGACTTTGAGACTATTGTAGGTGAACAGTATTATGAATCCGAATTTACACCTAAAAAGGCAGTGAAGCACTAACCCAAACATTTAAAGCAATAATGCTACACTGATTTAAGAAGCTACTTTAGTCTAACCAAAGTCAGAAATTTATAGCGGGGGAAGAGGGAGGAAAAGGAGAATCTCTTCTTCATAGGTACTGTTATTCAGACTATTTATCAGGAAAAAAATTATTACATCAGAGTTATGAGACCCAGGATGGAAGAAATTAAGACAATATACACAGTGCTTCTTCCAAAGGGATTTTAAAGATTCCTGTTACCTTTTTCAGTTTAACTCTTATCTATTTCACAGATTATAATATATACAGCCTCAAGACCAGGTCCGGATTTACAAGTGGTGACAACCTACCTTCTTAAAAAGAAGATGCAAATAACTTCATATTCTAAAGTAGGCACCAATAATAGGATCTAATCCAAGTTGGATCAAAACAAGTTTTACTATGTAACTTGAGATGTTCACAAAGAAACAAACCCTAAAATACAGAACTCACATTTTGCACACCACCTTATTTACCCTTCTAATTCTAGACATCAGTTATTTGCCAGTAATTTCCTAAAGTAAACTAATAACTGATTCACTTCTAGCCTAAGTTTTAGAACAGATACCAGAACGAAGATTTCATCAAGAAGCTACAGTCAAGCAAAAATAGTTTGCTCAGGAACAAGCAACCCAAACTACAAAGAGTGAGGGGACACCAAACAGTGTGCTATTCAAGTATTCTATATGTAAATTCCCTTGAGGCGACTGTGGAAGTCAGCTTGCTTCTCAACTTGCAATCAATTTATCACGCTGAAGCTAAGACTGCCAACCAGTAACAAAGAGAAGGATTTCTGTATTTTGCTAGTTTTTCCCAAGATGGCAAGAACTAGTTGTATGGTTAAAAGAACAAGCTTGAATCAACACTATTTCAATTAACCTGTTCAATATAAGCGTTTAGGATGTTTAGTTACTGTGTAACTGGTAACATGCTGTTAACCTGGGTGCGTATACAGAAAATTCTTGGCAATCTAAGGAATCATGTCAGGATTACCTTCAGAAACAGGTTTCATTAGTACTTAATGCAACTTCTGTTATTTGGTCATTCTGCCAATTTTACCCACCAAAAAATTTTCCTCAACCTGTACTGTACCACAACCAGTAGCAACAATTTACTACACGTAAATGCCTGGCAATGGGGGAGGCGGGGAAGGAAGATGCTTCACTGACAAAGTAACCCAGAATCACAGAAGGGTCGAGGTTGGAAAGGACCTCTGGAGTTCATCTGGTCCAACCCCCTACTCAAGCAGGTTGCCCAGGACCATGTCCAGATGGCTCTTGAGTATCTCCAAGGATGGAGACTCCACAGCCTCCCTGGGCAACCTGTGCCAGTGCTCAGTCACTCTCACAGTAAAAAAGTGCTTCCTGATGTTCAGAAGCAACCTCCTATGTTTCCGTTTGTGCCTATTGCCTCTGGTCCAGTCACTGGGCACCACTGAAAAGAGCCTGGCTCCGTCTTCCTTTCGCCAACCCTTAATCATCTTTGTGGCCCTTCACTGGACTCCCTCCAGTATGGCCATGTCTCTCTTGTACTGGGGAGCCCAGAACTGGACACAGCACTCCAGGTGTGGCCTCACCAGTGCTGAGCAGAATGAACCCATCAGATGAGTTTCCAAATACTTTTTTTGAAGACCGATAATGGATAACTTCCTTGCTCATAGATTATTTTCTATTTTGTGCCATAACCACAACCTTGCTTCTCTCTTCTCTTACAGTAAAGATATAGAATAACAAATATAACTGAGCAACAGCAATATGCACAACGAAAGCATGTTATTTAGGAGATGTTGGCAAGAGAATCAAACAGCCCCTAATGAGGGCAGAAATCTCCCTACTAAGTTAATATCATGACAAGAGCAAAAACTGAGTGACTAATGAAGAAAATAAAAAATTTTGAAACTTACCACCAGCTGCCAGGCTATGGCAAAAATGTCTTCACCTGAAGAAGCTGAAGTTAAAGTCTAGTAGAAGACAACATTGCTCAGAGGAGCTGAAAACAGTGCCCTGAATTACCTACTATACATCCGTGCACTAAACCAAGAGCCTTTCCACAAGCAAATCTTACAGGCAAACTTAATATGGCATCTTAGAAAGGCTATTCACACAGTTAAAAGTACGCTGAAGGCAGAAGGAAATTTATCAAAGTCAACCATAGCAACAAATCATTACTTGTTGCTCACAGAAATAGAAAACCTATTTTGTATGCCATATTCATCAAGTCTTCTGACAAGCTGAAAAAACTTTCACAAATCTAGTACTGACTAGCATATTCTATCCCTAATCAAGTACACACAAGAACACGTATGCTATGGCAAATTTCCAAGCTTCACAATTTTCCTTTAAGTGGCAACTTCTACTTATTTTCACTTATAGAAAACTTAACTTCTGGCTTCCCATATCAGTGAATATGCTTATACACAGGTTTTTGTGGTCCCGAGTAACCCTTACCTAGCTAACTCCTTGACAACCAAGCCCTGTGCAAATATATTGCATATTTGGGGGGATCTGCGGGGAATCTATGACTGCTTCAATTCAATTGAAGGAACTTGAGCCTTTTCCTAACTGGAATTCGGAACTGGTGCTCTGTGCAGACGACCTCATGCCACTCAAAACTGTCTGCTTCTGCACACCACAGTACCCACAGCTTCCGCCTCACAAAAAATACACCATACCTGCTGCACTTTAACAGCCCGCAGCTTCAGCCTGCCTTTTCTCCTTGCAGACTTGCTTGTTCAGATAACTCATCTCAGCTAAGTTTGCATCATGTGCACCAGCCCAGACTTACAGACTTTGAGCCAAGACATATCCCCATCATCTCTGTGGAAAAAACCTGAAACACTAGGTTCTTAAGAATTACATCTCTTGAGTTCAGCAGCACTTGCAGATGTATGGGTTTCTTTCAACTGCCCAAATACCACTTAAGTATACTAAAATCCTCGGCAATTTTTCTAAGTGTCTCATTCCCCATAAGCACATATATTCCAGGACAGCAGCAAAGAACTACCTAACAACAGAGACAGCAAAAACATGACATACAGAATCCTTTTAGCAATCAGTTCTGGACCAAAGAGCTTGTTCCTAGACAACAGAATAAAACCAAGTTTTTCAAGCTAAATGTGTACAGCCTAATACCATTCCTTCCTCGAGATCTCACAGTAATCCCTTTATCCACACTTTATTCACACTTTCCCTGGAAGTAAAAGAAAGCTGCAAAAGCCTGCTGGTCATTAAGGAAGAACAGACCTATTTTTTGTTACTCTTATGAGCACTCCACTACACTTATGAAACTCCACACTTGTAGGAAACCATAAAACCACAGCTGCCAAGTACCTTGCAGAAATACAAAAACCGATGCCAGCCTAAGAGACGGTTACTAGAAATCTTAATGTATTCTGAAGTAAATCTGCAGTGCACCTAGTACTGTCCACAGGCAAGTCCGGTCCCTCCCCACAGGAAGCAGGATGGTTATTTGAGACACACTGCTTCATTGTAGTTCCATGAAAAAGTAATGAATCCTTTACAGCATGGATAACCTTATCATTTTTCCAAAAAAAGCCTCAAATACATTTTTCTGTCCTGTCTGATAGCATTAGGTTAAGGTTATTCTCTATCACAAGAGATTAGATTTGATTCCCCTTTTAGTGCTGCTGACACAAGGAAGCTGACGCAGGCCAACATGGACACAGGCAGCCAGAAGACTGGAAATATTCCAGATATACTGGAATATATCAACTTGTATCTGCCTATTCTGGATAATTGTACATTAATTTTTCAAATAAGCACTCCCTTGCAATGTAATAAAGATGATGACCTATTTCAAGCCAGAGGCAAGTCAGATACAATAGAAGCCTAAATCCATTCTATTCAGAGAAAACTATGGCTCCACAAATGCAAGGCTATAAGCCACAAAGTTATTTTCGCATCCTTTGCTGCTTGTCAGAATACACAGTGCCTGAGACAGCACAAACCAAACTATCTTTTATACTTTTTGCACCTGGCATCAGTACTCAAATATTGCAGCACATCCCAACTCTAAGCTCTATGATTCACGTTTGGTAGTACACACCTGAGAATTCAAATCTATTCTGTAAAGAAAAAAAAGCCATTATTTGTCCAGGCACGGTATGTCCTGCATTTGGATTATCATACTTGGTGATGATGGAGAATACTTTGATAGAACCAACTAGGTGATTTAAAAAAAAAACAAACAACAAACAAACAAAAACCAACAAAACAATAATTAAGCATTTGATTTGGAAACTTTTTTATAAGGAGGACAAAATC